TGATGCCGATGGGAATTGGTATATGTAAGGCTCTACGGCTGCATAGCAGTGCAAGGACCTTAATTAATACATGACATTAGTGTAAGTATTTTATGTCGATAGGCATTGGTAGATGTATGGCTCTACGGCTGCGTAGCAACGCAAGGACTTTAATTGCAGCTCAATGACTTTATGAACTAGAGTTTTCTTAGTATGATCGTGGTTCAGTTGCTGAAAGTAGCAGCTCAATGGTCACCAAAATCAATGGCTTAAGCATATGATGCAATTAGGTATTCAAGGACCTTAATGAATATATACATAAAGCTGCTTAGTAGATTTTGCAATGATCACTGATCAACGTTTTAATTTAAGGGAATGGGTTTTTCCCAGGAAAAATAGCATGATTTTAGCTGGTTCAATATTTGTCTGGGTTTTTTCATCCCGCCCCACCCAACCCATCAGATTATTTAGTATATGTGGCCCGGTAGAATGATGGTCACAAGCAAACAGAACAGAAGCAAACATAATGTAACGATCCTCTTCGAAGTACTATGTGGTGGCGATCCCAAATCCCATATGTTTTTCCTTCGTAATAAAGATCCGATCGAGCAATAATAATTATGGCAGCTGTTTCATAAACTCTGAAACGTGGCAAAAAATTGACAGACCGAAATATTTGCCGATTCGATAAGTTTGTGATTTCGGTAATGATCACTGCCGAATCAAACTTATCGAATCGGTAAATATTCGGTCGGTCATCTTTTTTTCCAGATGTTCCAGAATTTATGAAAACAGCTGTAAACTTTATATCCGGTTTTAAATTTATATCCGGTTTTAATTTATATCCGGATTTAAATTTATATCCGGTTTTAATTTATATCCGGATTTAAATTTATATCCAGTTTTACAGCTGTTTTCATAATTCCTGGGACACTTGTAAAAAAATTAGCCGACTGATTTTTCGGCCGATCCGATTAAGTTATTATTTCGGCATAATAATAATAGATTCAATAAAAATTGATACGTGCGTACCAATTTTTATTGCACGGGTCTCATGTAGCAACCTGTGCTTTTTTCATTTACTTATTGCACGGGTGTCTAATTACAAACATAATGCAATACCGTGCAATAATATGGTTATTATGTGGGTTATAGAAAATAACTAAATTTGCAAAACTAACCATGCCTTCGGCCATGCAACTAGTGTCTAAAATTCAGCATCAAAATTGTGGGCTGTAGCGCACAAAATTTTTTTTTAAATGTACGCAATAAAAACAAATTTGTTCGATTTTTTAGGTTTTTTCTAAGATATTCAAATTTTCTTTTTAACTTTTTACCGAAAATTTCTCGAAATCATTAAAGCAAATCCAATGTTTTTATTTTAAATCTACAAAAATGTAGATTCAAATAAAAAAATTTAATTGAATCTGATCGATAATTGATCGACTAAAATACCGTTCCTGATGGGTCGTCAGCACTCCTGATATGGTGAGAAAAAACGATTTACATACTGTTCCTGATAGGGTTCCTCCAAAATACTATACTACTATCATGTATTACCGATCCATCAGGAATAGTGTTTTTGCTTGTTTGCTTTTTAGGAGTTATACGGATACCTTATGTCAAGCGAAAATCGGACCCTTCCGATCCAAATACTTAGGTTGGAGTATCTCAAGTATTATACATATATCGATATGTAAATTTTAATGCTGAGCATTTTTAATTAGAAGCCAGATGTTGGTTAGCATAGCAAAATTTGGCTCTATTTTCATAGGAAGACATTCGTATGATTGGCTGTTTAAATCAATTTAATTTATACAGTTTAAAGTACTTTTAAAAAAAATCAAACTACGAAGAATAAACAAAAAAGAAGTATATAGAAAGTTTTATTAGGGTTGTAGGACTCCAGTATTAAAAATAATCTGGTTTTAGAGAAGTTAGCATAGTAGCGACTTCTTAAAGATAGGTTATTACCATACTAACTTCTCTAAAACCAGAAATAATTTTGATTATTTTTAATACTGGAGTCCTACAACCCTAATAAAACTTTCTATATACTTACTTTAAACCGTATAAATAATGTAAAATTAAATTGATTTAAACAGCCAATCACACGAATGTCTTCCTATGAGCTCTATTTAGGATGTTTCACGTTTTTTTTGTTACACAAGATCCTGAGATTTTATTGGTTCCGGACCAGAAATTTTAGGGTCGGAGGTCGATTTTCGCTTGACATGGAGTTATACTGCACTGCATATTGCATTACACTGATCAACATAACCTCGCACGTGCGTAATTTTACTTGCCCTGATCTAGAGGTTGGAACCGGTTTTAATAATTCGAGTTTATCACGTGAATTTTGTGATATTTTAGAATTTAATCCAATTAAATTTTAATAAATTCTAAAATATCACAAAATTTACGTGATAAACCCGAATTATTAAAACCGGTTCCAATCTCTACCCTGATCGTACGATCTAAGTAAAAAATTTCCTCTTTTGGCTTTAAAACTCTGAAAACGCTTTGCTAGGTCAACTCTAAAATCTGCAGATAAGAAAATGATTTATCTCACCTGAAAAATAACAACTTTAAGAAAATATTTCTTTTTTCCTTTTCATTTTTAAAGCATTCGCATTGAGATTTCATTTTTGGCTCTTGTGAAAAATACGTACGGGGTTATCTCACTATAAACACTACTAACTACTCTAGCTGCTCTAACTGAATTCTAATAATGGCAAGGTTTCGACTGATACATGGGTAGAATTGGTCTGAAAATTAGAGCGTTACTGCGGAGGTTACGAGGTCAGAAGTTGACTATTCCATTTCTATTTCCTTTAAATTTATCATTCAATTCGTTTTATTTGTTTATTACTTTATTCTATAGCTACACCCGGGTTTCGAATTCTAACTCAACCATGAACAAAGGTCAGTGCGCTTTATGATTTATTGACTATAGATAGACATATTCCTATCTTTCCGATTTTTTTTTTCCGTACTGACTAAGTTATATTATGATCAAATCCTGCGAATCCTTCACTTTTTTTAAAAAAAATTTCGCGGCAATTAAAAGTAACTTTTGTGACCGATTGTGTTTAAGAGAAATTTTGCTGTTGTTCGTGAATCACAGAGAATCGACCTATGTTATCAAAATATAAAGTGTAATGGAATCCGTTGATTCATAACGTGATGTTAACGAAGCCGATGTACGAAAATCTTTCTCCTTTCATTATTTCGAATCTTGTGTCCAATTTAATTATTAAGATTGGTAATTATTTTTAAATAATTTTAAAGCTTCAAATACCTAGATAATTAAGGACAGATCTAATTTAAAGCTCCTGCCAAGATTTGTCCTTACGGTAAGTGTGGGTGTCGTCCCTATTTCATCGTTTCTCTTTGGGCCTTCGGCACGAGTATAGGCATCGTTCCTTCCTTAGTAATGTGGTAATAATGAAATCTCCAGTCGAGCTTCGCTCCTGTTAATAACAGGGGTGTAGTTTCTGTTTTTATCGTCTTCTTTCTCTAGAACATTGTGCGAGCATAGGTATCGTTTTTGGCCCTGGTGATGATGAAGGTTCGTTTTTTGGGATAGGTGCGTCTTTAATTGCGTCGTCTCTGACTCCAGTGATGATGAAGCGCTCATTTTTTGGGCATAGGTGTCGTCCCTAATTGCGTCGTCTCTGACCAGTGATGATGAAGCGCTCGTTTTTTGGGCATAGGTATCGTTCCTAATTGCGTCGTCTCTGACCAGTGATGATGAAGCGCTCGTTCTTTGGGCATAGGTGTCGTTCCTAGTGGTTCTATGTCGATATCCTGAAGATCAAAATCCTGAAGATACTAAATCCTGATACACTAAATCCTTAAAGAACAAAATCCCGAAAGTATAATATCCTGAAAATTTAAATCC